TCACATGTTGGGACCAATCCAAAGTGAGTCTCCTTGGCGAGTGCCAAAGAGAGCAGGCAGCTGGAGACGCAGCGGCCGGCAACTCGGAGGGCTCGGTGGGCGCTGATCTCGCGGTCCTGTTACTTCCCGTGTTTTGGGTGTCTTGAACATCACCTCTTGGGCCAGTTTAGTTGAGTTTCATTTTGGGGTGATGTTTCAAGGAACACGAGGAGCCACGTGGACACCACTTGTCATGCCTCAGAAGTAGATTCGAGTGTCTAAGATGGCTTGTGATTGATGTTGTGCGTTCCATGTCAACCTGCAGAAGAGTAGCACCCTGGTTTTGTACGGACCTTTGGGGGAGGCACAATTAAACAAGAAAGGACCAGACCTTTGGCTGGCTTTCAAACAGAACACAGAATGACACTAGCCATTGCGAAGAATCAGCGCGTTTGGGAGAGTCAGCAGTGATGCTTGTTTGGGCACATCTAAATTTAAGGGCTGACGTGTTTCGGACACTACTCAATACACCAAACATCTCCTTGGAATGTTCCGGGTTGGTGCGCGGTTTGGGCAAGCTTTGGCAGGGTGTTGCTTCTGTCATGGAGGAATTCCTATACCGGCTAAGATGTGCGGAATACCTAAATGTTGCAGACGCCACCAAAAGCAAAACTGGCACATGCTTCAGGGCGTCCTTATTCATGAGCAGCAACCACTGGGTTGAGAGCTTTCCGTTGAGCCAAAAAACACAACCACAAACGCATGAGCATATTGTGTGTGGGTGTGTGGGCGAGTGAGGCAGGGCTCACACATCGGCAAGGCCTTTCAGGATTCTTCACCCAGATCAAAAACTCCGCGACCAGAGGAGTCAAAAGTAGGACACTCACACCAGGATGACTCCAACCCCTTCCCCCCCGCAAAAAAAATCAATAAATAACAACATGCTCACAAGTGTGTCGGGTTCTGCGCGTCGGACCCAAGACTGGGACTGGCCCAGGGTGATCAGGGCCTGGCCAGTGCCAACGTGCGGGGACCCAGTGGCGAGGGGCCCGATTCGCTCGTTCTCGGCCCGGAGCTCTCATAGAGGCATATACAGATGTGAATGCACGTGTACTTCATACATATCTACTTATACATACATATTTCTACATGCGCATTTGCGTACATACATATACATATACATATATATATATATACATACATATACAACTGTGCATAATTACAAACATATATATATATATATATATATATAGATATGCATACACCCCGAGCTGCACTTGCAGGCGTGATTTTGTGTAGGCACCGTGCGTTTTTGGTCAAACAAGCTCGTTTCAGCCCAGAGGCGCACTCGTGTTTCCTTTTCTTGATGAGAGTGCCTGAGCGGGTACGCTTGAGCGGTCGTGCTTATCAAGTGCAGGCTTGGATACAGTGCGGAGAGGGCGCGCTTATCACTTGGCCGGGTCTCATGCGCGTTTGGCAGCATGGATGGATTGTTGACTGCTGGCGTGCTTGAGCAGGTAGGTGTGCTTATCAACGGGCGCGCTTGAGCGGGCGTGCCTATCATTTGGCTGGTGTGGGCATAGGGCTAAGCGGGCGCTCCTGATCTTGCGTGCTTATCATTTGGCAGGCATGGGTTCATGCTGACTTGCTGGCAGCCACGCTTCCAAACGAATGTCTTCAACACAGATTGTTATGGACGCACCACGCTAGCCCATGATGAGAGAACGTGGTTTTGTTTGGGTTAGCCCACTCAAAATGCAATGGGAAAATCAGCGCAAACAGCATTTCGCTGCGTTTCTGCCCTCTTGCAACCGTGCGCGTGTGCACGTATGTAGGTTCGCAGGGGTTTCAACATCCTATTCATAGAGGTTTCTCAATGCGCCTGAGGCTTCAAAAGAGCAGCGCGGCTAATTCACTTCAAGCACAGTTCTCTTGGTTCCTCTCTGGCTCAAACGGCTCCCAAAGTGGAGCCCCCCTCGAAAAGGGTTTCAAATCAGACCTAGTATTAATTGTTGTGGATTTAGGGGCCTTCTTTCTGGGGTCTGGGGGCCAATAAAAAACCAGAAGCTGGCCCGAAGCTCCGTCCCATTGCCGCCAGCACGGCGCGGTTGACGCCTGCGACGTTGCCACCCTCGGCCAAGACGCCGCCCTGCACGCGGAGGCGGGGCATCGACGAATGACGGCGCCTCGTGCGATGGGATTGATCGGGTTTGCGGCCCTGATGGCGGTTCTTGGGGGTTCCTTTAAGAGGTAAATCATCGTGATTAGCCCAGTACTGTCTTCCCTTTTGAGTCAACTATTCAAAAGGGTTAAAGAAGCACTAGTGACGGTGACACAATGGATGGCGGGGCCGCTACAGCTTCTGTTGCAACAGATACTCTCACACACACACAGACAGTCTATAGAGACAGGGTCTGACGATGCCAATGAAGACGCATCTTGCTGCTCGTCACGTTTGAGGTTCTCTGAATGAAAAAATGGGTCACGAATGGCCAGATGCGGCCAGTGGGATGGTTTCCACACGCTTACCACTCAAGCCATCCCGAGAGAAATGCTCAAAGGGAAACTGCGCTTGCTGGACACAAACCCATATTGTACGTATCTATGTGTATATGTATACAAAACTGTTGCATAAGCATACCCCCCCTTCATGTTCTTAGTTTCCCCAGCCTTTCGACTTCCAATGTCCTGAGCCTGAAAGCGAAGGTCAGCCGAGCGATCGCCAGTTCATTGGAGTCCTTGATGTTAAGCCGCCCCTTTAGATGGTTTTGCACCCTGACGGGGGTTTCTGCTTGGCTCTTTTTGACCAGCTCCTTCGGCTCAATGAGCGCGAGAGTTTCCGACCTGGTCAAGCCGTTAGGTTGGGCGTCCCAGTCACCTGTTCCAGGCTGAGAGCTTTGGCTTACGCTGGAAACCCGTGCCAAACACTGGGGTTCTCCTGATTTAGTTTCCCCCCCGCTGAGGAGACCTGGAAAGCCCGGTTTGGGGAGCGTAGCTCAAGCTTGGTCCCTGGATCTCTTGGTCCTCTCTGGTCCTGTCTGGTTAATTGGGCGACGTTGCATGTTTTGTTTTGTGGAGAGGGCCATGATTCAGAGGGTTGGCAAGCTGATTTGATCGAGAGGAAGGGTCCTTGGAACCAAAGGAAGGCGAAGGCTGGCAAAGGCAACAGTCCCAAGTGTTGTTTCCCTTTTTCGTTTTCTTTTGGCGGCGGCCGCCCTTGGGAATTTGGTGCCCGCAAATGGATGAAGTCTTTCTTTGGGGTTTTGAATCAGGAATCATGTCAAGCTAGACGCAGATTTGCAGAAAATCCTGAGATTGTATGTGTTCCAAACTCAAACATTTTGGATGCACCCATGGAGAGCTCAACAACTTCGGGACGGGTAAAACCAAATGCGCGAATCGGGGCGTAGAGAGATCAGTGTACTTCCATTGAGTTGATTTGTTGCTTCCCTACTGATCTTCCCTGAGTAAGCGAAAAGGTTACGACTGTGGGCATTCGACTTTTTTGGTGGTAGCTTAGGCAAAGGCGCAGATTCCTTGGCCTGCAAGCGGAGACCAGGAGCGCTCCGGTGATCATCCACGGGCCTCGCCGGCATGTTGTCTGCAGGTGGTGTTCCTCTGTTACGCACGGTTCTGAGTGGACTTGTCTGAAAATTGGAAAGCTGGTCGGTTTTCTTTTGGTCTGCCTTTAGAACCAAAAGGCGGTTCCCCACGAAGGGAATCCAGCACCCCTTCTGAAAACGTTTTCAGTCGGCCAAAGCTTCCTGGAAAACCCTTTCTGGCTGGATGTTTCGAGCTGGCCCTTTGTTTCCGGAGAACAGCAGGGTGAGACATCACCGGTGAGAACTCACGGCGAAATGAATGAGAACACGCATGAAGGTTCTCCTCAGCCCTTGTATCGGGGAGAATTCTTCTGATTTGCCCTGATATGATGTGTCCGAATTTTCTGCAATTCCGAATTGTCGCGCCAACACAAATTGCCGGCATGGTTCCGGCAGTTCGATTCCCTCATCGTATCGAGCACTCACTGGGTTTTTGGATATTCTCGGATCACAGAAGGGTTCAATAAGTTTTCGTTGGGATCCCGGAAAAGGGGAAAAATCCCGGGTGGGAGGCGATCCTTTTCATTGTGCTTGGATCCTTGAAGGGAGGACAAATCACCGTTGGGAAGGGCATCCGTTCCTCGTCGCAGAACTGGTGGCAGGCGATTCCCGCAACCCTTGTGATGCTCCAATTCCCCCCTGCAAGCAGGCTTCACCCTTTTGCCAAGGCGAGTCAGGACAGGGGTCCATTGTGTGTATATATATATATATGTATACATGTGAACACTACATATATATATATATGTACGTAAAGATATCTATATTTCTTTCCCGCTTGACATCAGCTTTTGGTGCCCTTCTATGTGAGTCTCCTTTCGAGGTGATGTTGTCATGACATGCCCGGCTCGAAGCCATGGTGCACGCCCAAAGCGGCGGCGGTCCCACGCGAAGAGCCATTCGCATGAGAGCCTCCAGTTTAAGCAGACAGATGGTGATGTTGTTCTGAGATGCACGAAGTTGCTGAATTCTTCGAAGAGCCACGGACCTTTTTGTCCTGGTGACTCCAAGGGTGCCACAACTTCAACTACCCTGAGTAGATGTGCCATTGCAAGGTCATGTCGAGCCCGGATTATATGGCTCGCGGATGAATACGGGGTGCTCCTCCCCCCAAAGTGATCCACACCAGTGAATTGAGTTGGGGAGATCCCAGCGCCCCTGCGATACAGCCAACCAAAAAGGACCCCGAAGAAAGCCAATCCCAGTTGACTACTAAACCAGCAAAATCGATTTGAGAGGGAAACCAATCATTTTAGTGTCCATGTGTAATCGCCACCCCTGAGCTATCAGATAAGGCCAATTCAGGCCAGATACCAGATACAGCAAGCCCCAGTTCAACCCCCAGGAATTAGGTTCAACAAAAAACGGGGGCACCACCCGGGCAGCAAACCGGGTCCCACCCTGGCCGACTCCCCTGGTGCGATGCCTGCTGGTTCCGGCGCCGCCGGCGCGGCCCTGCGGGCGCTGCTGCGTTGGGAACCCAGAAGGCAGGGGGTGATTCAGCTCCCAAAAGGGTGGCGGTTCTTTGCTTTTGTTGATGTGGTCCCAATTGGACACATTGAGAGGACCTGCATGTTGACCAGGCCCCAGCCTGGAAATCTGGGATATTTGGAGACGATTGACACCGAGTGGAAATCTCCTGAGCTAGGCCTGGAAAGGGGGTCATGTAATTACACATCTCGTACCATTTTTTTGCTTGCCTTGCGTGTTCCTTTTGGTTTCCGTCTTTGACCCATTCGCAACGGGGCCCAATTTGATTGGTTGACGCGTTGACGCCCGAGGTCCGGCAATCCCACAGGCGCGCCAAAAATGGGGGCTGAGAGGGCTGGCTTGCCACTCGGCTTGGGGTTGAACCGGTTTTGAGTCTTCCCATGCAACGTCCAAATCAAGGCACCAATCCAAGTAGAAGGCCTTGCTTTTCCAACGGGGAATCTCTTGCTGCTATTTCGCCAGGCTTCAGCCACAGAGGAGGCAGGGCAGCTGGGGCAGCGCTTAAATGTCAGCGTTTGGGGCCGCTTTGGATTGAGTCTCCGGGGTGATGTTTGCTCGGCTGATTGGTTTGACCAGCTAGCCGTTTCCAACTGCTCGCCAGCGAATTCCAGTTTCTGGCATTACTTACGTAGGATTAAGCGTCATCTGCCTCACTTCTCTCTCCTCCATTTAGATATCCCTTGGTGCGGTCCTTGTGCCGCATGCGGGTTTGGCGGTTTTTTGGAACCTGTTGGGGCGGGTTCCCAAGGATAAAGCAAGCAGCAAGCGACGATTCTGATCTGTGGCAAGGAACCTGTGCCCACTTGCGCACCAGACCAACTCGGTGGCCGGTTACACGTATCATGTCGGGCTGGCAGATGTTTGTTTCTCAGGGTTGGGCAACATGTTGGACAAAACAACCAGACCTGGACGGAAAGCAAGGTTTGAGGTTGTTTTGACCATGGCTAAACATGCTCCGTGGGGGCCCATAGAGATGGGTCCACCAGTGGCTCAAGCCAATGTGGGAGGACCACTCCCTGGTGGACTTGTCCCTCAGCGACTCCAGCGCCTCGCTGCTCGTCGCTGAGGCGGGGAGGGGGCCGCCAGAAGGGGAGAGAACACCCGGGGGAGTTCTCCCGGGTTTTCTGTGAATAGGGGCAAGCGAAGTCACGACCTCCAGCTTTTGTGTTCTGCGCCAGGAAAACCCATAATGATAGCTTTTCCTTGGGGTCGCGTATTTGGGATTTGCGAATTGCTGCCTCCTCGTAGGCAGGCCTTTGCTTGCGGACTGGAAGCCGTCCAGCGTATGATTGGCTTGTTTTCACTGTTGGGTTGGGGTGTGGTGGGGGGGGATGATCATCTTCGTGTTAGGCATGAGCAACCTTTTTGAGTCAGGTGATCCTCCAACCCGGATTTTTCTGTTTTGCAGCCGCGATCTTTGTGTTTGCAGAGAGGGGGCTTGTTTCTTGTTTTGCTCTTGCTTCAGCCCGGCTCCACTCATATGCAATCCATACCATGGCCATCTGCTTCAAGCATGATGCAAACACGTGTGCGCACAGAGCCTCTACGCTTATTGATTTGTGATGCTTGATGCTTGTGTACCCACTCATATTTGTTGACTCCTATATTCTCATATGCAACTGAACCAGTTCTGTATCAGAGCAGATTCCGCAGAAAGCGACTGCAACCAACGAAAGGGCGCGCAAGAATGCGTTTGCCTTGAACTTGACTGGGGAAGAGAACAATGCGCAAAACAGCTGCGGGGTGATCGCCCCGAAAGGGCTGAGGATTTCGCCATGCTTTACCCTTCGATTCAACCCTGCTTGGGACGGCATAACATGATGACCCTCTTGCAATTGGGATGTTGAAAAGAATGGTGAAGTTGAATCAGTTTTGGAGTGGTTGTTGCGTGAACTGAACGCACGCAGCCCACCTACTTGGGCTGATGCCCTTAAGCAAGCCGTCCAAAAGGTCCGCCTCGAAAGACATCCGTACGGAATGATCACTGGCCGGTGTTCAGCAGCCCACGGGAAAAAACCCACCTGTGCTCCTTGCCAACTCCCCTCTTGCAAGCTGAGGTATGGCAGATGTTTTTCTCCATGTATTCTACATCTCATTGGGTGGTTTCAATATCACCCGTCGGTTTGCAGATCCACAGCGGTACTGCTTCCTTTGATTCCCATCGCCAGGAGGCAGCTTCACCCAGCAGGTGCTCCGCCTGATTGACCCAAAGGCAATGTCTATCCCTGAGGTTGCACCCGTGAGGGTGTGCCCCCCAAAATCTTAATTGACTGAAATTCCTACATCCTCTGTATGATTATATATATATATATACAAATATCATGATAAATATGTAGGTTATGTATTGGGAGCCAGTAGTACACTCTCAGGGGTGAATGACAACAATGCGTGAGCTTACTTCCCCGTAGGGGCGTGAACGCACTTCAGACCCAGTTCCCTAGCAGCCCCGTCGAAGGCCGGGCAAGCTGGAGGGGTCACATGAGTTTGAGAAAATCGTTTGAACCAAATTTGCCAAAGGGATGGACACCCGCCTCTAGCAGGTTTGGTTTTCTAGCTACCAAATGAAGAAAATAATGTTATTTACTCCACATACGAAATTTCATCGCACTTGCCCACGTACATTGGAGATGCACAGCAGTTTGACACTGGCCTGGACTGATTGTCGTGGATTTCGAGCCAGACCTCTCAGCAAAAGGCCACCCCCCTTCGAGAATTGCCTCTTTGGTGTAGAAAGCCAAGAGGCTCCCCTAAGCTGTAGGAAGCTAAAGAAATCAAAGGGGGAACCTGGCGATCACGCCTGCTTTAGTTTGATGAGTGCCCCCACCTTTTGCAGCACCCCCCCCTTTTTATGAGCAGTGCTGGTGCTTCAGGCACATCACCCACCCAAACATAGCCCCTTCAACGGCCATTTGCTCGGAGGTACTTTTGCCGGCATATGAGCCACAAACAAAACCCGGTTAGTCGGGCCTGTCCCAACCTTTTTTCAGGTGCGAGAGGTGTCTTTGAGGCGGGTTTTGAGTCCTCATTGGCACGTGTCCAATGGCCAGGCACAAGTGGTCCGTGGCCCCTGAGGACTGGCGAGTTCTGAAGGGCTCAGGCCTCGAAGCCGATGGAAACTGAGCCCCCCGAGTCGTTTGAAATGGCGTCCCCGCTGTGATACCTTGAGCCCTTTGTAGGCATTGGTTGGGAATGCCTTCTGTTTTTTTTTTTTTTTTTTTCTCCGACCGATTTCAGAGAAGCGGAGCGGCAATTCCCACAATGCGGGAGGTTGGGCATGCCATGTTCGACGAGGTGTTTCTTCCTGGCACATGTTCGGCTTGTTATATTTTCGCATATTGCTTGATGCGTTTCGTCTTTCTGGCATGCTTTGTTTTGCAGTTTTCCATCTTCGTTTCCACGTGACACAAGCACGGCACGAATCGAACTGATTCCAGCCATGCCAGCCCAGTGGACCATTGGCAGCGCATTGCCTTTGATTCAAAGGAGAAGTTGCCATGGGCCAATAGCGGCCCGGGGGTGAATGTTCCTTTCACCATCGGTATGAAGGGCTGCAAGCTGTTGACACTTCCAGCAGGAGATGTGAGTTGGAAGCCCCAGTGTCCCTTCAACACATATTCACTAGCAGCAACCTGCTATTCATTGGGACAGGCGTGTACTCAGCGGGGCATTTTCCCGCAGGCGTGTGGCAGCGTTTCGGTTCTTCGATGGGTGCCAGCAGAAATGAGCTACAGCAACGGTTGCGTTGGTGCTTCCCGTGTCCTAGGTTCCTTTCGCGCCTGAGAGTTAGGTCTTCGACTCAAGCCAGCTGTCCACCCGAGTCTGGTTGAGCTGTCAGATCCCCACTGCCGGAGGAGCCCAACTTGGAGGAGAGGCAGTTGAAATGCCAGCAGGAGCTGGAGACGGGTGGCCAAGAGGGACATCACCTTATGGGGGTGCGGAGTAGGGCGACCCCTTCCAAAATTGTGTTTTCCGTTGGTTTCCCTTAAACAAACCTCAACCAACCAGGGCACTTGGGTGTCTTTTTGGAGAATGACAGACATGTCCAAACGCCAACTTGCAAAGCGGTGGCAACTTATGGGCGTGGAAAACCCCAACCCAGCCCTGGCTTGACCCATTATCAGTGGGCCTGCGCCGATTAGCACAAAGCAGAGACCGGGCTTCATGCTGGTTAGGCCCTGTAGGCGAATTTGAAGTTTTAAGCCTAGCCGCCCACTTTGAGGGTGGCCAACCTCAAGTGGGGCTCTAAGCATCACCCTTCTGGACGACAGTTCAGCGTCAGCTTCCTTTCGGCGGGGAAATCCCAGGTTTTCCCTTGGGGCCCAAGGTGTTTCCACGTCCAAGCCTGTTTCATTTCCATTTCTTTGGACGGGGCTCCGTCTGGAGCCTTGGAGCCCGAGGGTTTTGGCTCTCCGAGGAAGGAGCTGCAGCAGAAGCGAGCCGAGCTGCGGGAGAAGGAGGCGCAGCTGAGGCACGAAGAGTTGGGAGGGCCGCGGGAACACGTGGGACCCCGTTTTGGAAAGACGTGGGACCCTGCGACTTTGGTGACGTTCAAGCAGACCCCTCGACCGCTCGCAGAAAGTGGCAAGGGCAAAGTCTCCGGTTGCCACGGCTATGCCTCCAAATCATTTTCACGCATTGTCCTTTCGCGTTGGGGTGTCCATCTCAAAGGGAGGAACTTGATATTGGGAAGAATTGGGCACCCCAAGCCATAGAACACAGAAATGGGGCCCAAGCCGCAGAAGGATGTGAAGAACTACCAGCATGGACAAGACCCCCACAGAAGGAAATTGATGGTTTGGGGCCTTTCCCGCAAAGCATGGATCCAGCGCAAACCTTCAAACGTGGCCAGTAAGTTGACGAATGTGTTTCAGGGGAATCCGATGACTTGCTGTGCCGTTTTTTTGAAATCGCACGCGGGACGTGTCAGCAGAAGTTTCTGTGAGGGGCGCCCTTGAAAGTCATCATTGCAATAGGTGTGATTTCCCACAACTACGGCCATGGCCTGTCCCCTTGTCATCTTGTCACCTTGTCGCCATGCAGGGCACGCACAGAGCTCGCGGAACCTGTGTGCCAGACCAGGCGGGCACAGCGACTGCTCAAATCAGCCGGGTTTGTTTGTCTCGCGATAAGGGACCCCCTTTTGGGGATGGTGCCAAAAGGCAGACCAAAGGGAACCAAGCAGCTCTGGGGTCCAAAATGTGTGGAAATGCCCCCAGCACCACCTCACCCATGCTGAAGCATCCTTTTGCACCAGCGCACTCAGCTCTCGTTGCTGGGAGCGAGAAGCTCGGGCCACCGGGAATTCGAGTTGCGCAGCTTACGCGAGTCCGCCTGAAAACATGGTCGTGTGTGTTGTTTTTGCTCGTGCTTGCTTGGGTTGCAGTTTGCCACCTTTTCACCTTTGCCAAACCCGAAGAAATTTCGCCACTTCGCATGTCGCCTCGCGCCAGTCTACCTGAAGCCGCCAGGTGCCCGGGAGTTGCAAGTTGCAACGGCTTCCCTGTTAGTTTCCCGGTCCAAAACGGGCCCTCCTTGAGGATGGATGTGATGTCCTTGTTTCCGTTGCACGCTCAAAGGCTCTACAAAAACCACCAAAAAAGAGACCAAACATGTTAAGCCTGTCCCCTTATTTACTTGGCCACTCGCTGGTGAAAAAGATCCGTATCTCCCCTTTCAATGTTTGGGACAACCAAAGTCTGCGACCGGACTCCGACCACTCCCGCAAGGGCCGTGAGTCGGCTTGAGTCGAGGCCTTGTACGAGCCCTTCAGATGGATGGAGACGCTGCCAAAGGAGCGGCCTGACTGCACCCAGCTGGAGGGGCTTGGGGACTGTCTAACAGGGTTTCATCCGTTTCCCTTCTTGGAACTTTTATAAAGTGGTAGTTTTAGACACCACCAGCAAGTTGCAAATTTTGAAGGGGATATCCCGCGACCCCAGTCTAATGTAGGCCCAGTGGTTCAAATTGAGGACCCGGCGCTTCGGCTTGCCCTTCAACCTTTTAGACTTGTGGAAATGACCCTCTCCCGAAACAGTGTGTTGAGAATCCCGCAGCCTCGGAGGTCGGCAATTTTTGTTGGTGCACTTAGTCAGCAACTAATGATGGCCGACAAGCACTGATTCCTGCAGTTTCTATTTGCTTCTTGTGCCCATTCTCTTACTTTGCTCACTTCCACGTGCAAGCGGCGCTCTTTATCCCCTCATTCCACCAGCTCAGGCAACGATCCCAGCTGGCGCGCTGCAAGCCCAGCAATGTTTCTGTCCGAGGTTGAAGCGGGCTTAAGTTTGCTTTTTCTCCCTCTTCCCTTGTTTGTGAAACTACGAGTGGCGGATAGATCCAATAGGAAGCCACGCACTCCTTGAGCGGGGGGCAGGTGAAGTCCGGGTGGAACTCAGCTTTGACTCCCTAGTCCCAAGGGCCCAACCAAGTGACTGCATGGAGGTTGAAGCAACGGAAGCTGTGCTGAGGGAGAATTCCATGCTGGTGTCCCCGGATCAAAGAGATCGTCCTGTTGGTGGATCGTATCGGGTGGCTCTTCTGGCCGGGCAACCCCATTTTGGGGCTGTTTCTGAAGATCACGTCAGTTTCTGGTGTCCTTTCCTTTCAGCATATCATGGGCCTCACTCTGGCCAATCCCGATTGCAGGAAACCAAAAGTAAAACCACCACGTTGTCCAGGTGAGTAGGGACCACCTTCAAAACTCACAGCATACTGCACATTGCAGAGCGTGGTGCGCCATCACCTTGTCGACACCTCCCTTGGAAAGGAGACGCCGCTTGCCCTACATAGGCCCCATTAGGCCCAGCCAGGCGAAATCTATTCCGCCGCCAGAGAACTGGAAACAACATTGCTTAGGAATGTTCAGGCTCTCCTTACAAGACCGCCACGACTTTCGCCGTGCCAGCTGCCATGCAAAAAGTCGGACCTTCCATCTCTTCAAGCACGAACACAACCGCAAAGATGAACGCAACCGGCACCAGAATCATCTGCAGCGAGCAGGGGAGCTTTGTACTTGGGCATGATCGGAAACTTGCATAAGCAGGGCCCGGCGACAAGGCCATGCGCCGCGACGCCACCCAAGCACCGTATCACGCATGCCACAGTCACACCATCCGTGAGGCAGGGCTTCATACCAATAGCACACATAGGGTGCCCGCACCAGCATCGCCCGGCCAGAGAATAACTCAAAACTGACGAATCGTGCAGAGGTGCCTTGAAAGAGACTTGGTGATCTCAAAAAAAGCGCACAGAACAAAATGCTTCTCTTGCAAACGGGGCAATCATTTTCAGTGCCCGAAGGCGCTGAGGATCGGCCAGTCCTGCGAAAATTATTTGGCGCAGCCTGGGAGATGACGTGATTAGTCGGTTCCTGCATCACCTTAGTGTAGTAGAACACGCACAGAGCCTGAGCCCCTCCCCGGCTGGCCATACGGCCGGATCCGCACGTCAGGGGAGCAAACAGTTTTCCACCTTTTGCAGCAGGTTCGACTAAAGTGAAGCTCCGCAAGCGAAAGCGAGCAACATACGTTTTCAGTCTCTTGTTGTGGGTATCACGTGGGCAAGCAAAGGAGCTTTCAGAAACGGCCCTTTTTCCCAGGCAGGCAACAGGAGCCAAAAGGGCCGAACTAGATGAAGGCACCCAGAAGGAGCCCTCCCTTGATGAACAAACTCCAAGCTGTGGGCTTACCTGTTGGAGGTTGATGTCTGGCCAGTCACTCGAGACTCGCGCGTTCGAGGCTGCACCACGCCCCACTCTGCCATGCGGGCCCTGGCACCCAATGACGCCCCTCACGGCGTGCTGGAGGCACGCGGATGGGTTGGATATACCCACTTTTTGAGGGCAACCCAGTCAAAGAACCGAGAGGAAAGCCATCCCACAGGGTAAACCTTCGAAGGGAGACCCCATTTCAACGACTTCGCTTTTCTTTCTCAGGCCTTGCAAAGGCAGACGGCGCAGCTCATGGGCGCTGCACTGGAGTTGGAGGAAGAGATCCAGAAGGAGGAGGCCCAACACCAGGCGCGCGAGCAGTTGGTTTCAAATCTTTTTTGCTGGTGAGTCAGGCGTGGCGGACTTGCCGGTGTTCCTTGTTGGAGAAAAAACGATGGATTCCCAATTTTGAGAACGCTAACAGCAAGGGGATTGCTTTTGCTTGGGGGTTGGTGCTGACAATGGAGACTGCTATGCACACGCATGCGGATGGGGACTGTTCGAAATGCATGATGGAGCCAACAGCAACCACCCAGAGCACGTGTCGCGAGACTACATGGGCAATCCTTCTGTCCGATATTGAGACATACACCCCGTACTTGGGTTGAGCTGAGAAGCAGGTGTCTTTTTCTTTGGCTGAAAATTCAGTGGCAAAACCTGTGTCGTGCTTGAACAGCCCAACGAGCATGAACCTGGGCATGCATCTAATTTGTGCTTGGACTGGGAGCGCATCCGGGTGCCTATATTTGCCCTTTAAGTAGTCTTCAGCAACACCTGTTGGTTGCCCATGGAACGCGGGGTTCCTTTCTGGGCTGATGTTTGGGAAGTTCCGGGACGCCTGTGGAAAGTCGCCGTGTTCCAAGCGAGGCCACGGGGATTCCGAGCCGCGGGAGCCCGGGGGATTTCCGGGTTGCGCCCCGCCGGACGAGGCGCAGCTGGCGGCCATCCACGAGGAGCACCGCGCCCAGAAGAAGCGCGGCAAGCGCGGGAGCCCAGGGCCACGGAATCCGGACAGAAAAGGAGACCCCGCAAGACCGTAGGAGCATATCCTGAAAAGGGAAACCCCTGACTTCCCTTTGCTGACTATGTCTTCTTTATATCCCCTTTTTTGGTTTGAAATGGAATTGTTACTTTTGTCCAGGGGCTTAAGCACATGGAAGCTGATGTATGGTTGGAACGGGATTTTGAAATCGCCCATCCAAGAAGTACTCGAGCTTTTGGTGGGGGGGAACTATCACTTCCGGATTCAGGGCGCAAAGAAAGCCAGCGGGAAGGGGCCCTAACCCTTTTGGCCAGTTAGGCTACAGGTTGGCAGAACACATCCATCCCTTGGGTGGCGCTTGTGGAAAAATGTACTTGCCGAGTATGTCCGACCTAGACCTCATTGCTATCTAGAATTTCCTGTTGCCATTTTTATCGGCCACGTTGAGTTTCAGTTGGTTGACCTCTTGTGCCATCTCCAACCTAAATGTTTCTCCCAGAAGCACGAACATGTCGGTCAAAAGGACGATCCTGAATGTTGGCCATGCTGTTGTTGGGGATCTCGTTTGGGTGATTTTTGTTTGGGGCTGCCAGAGTGCCATCTTTGCTTGACAAATGTGTCAACCATTTGTTTGCACAGGTTGATACTGGCTGACCTATCAGCGAATGGTTATGTTGAGCCCCAGGGAAACCAGACGAATCCGTCTATTTTCCAAAAGGACACCTGGGTGTTCCCAACTTTTCACTTAGGCCCAGGCATCCCTGCATGTTGGGGCTGTTCCGGAAAGGGATTCGGGTCCCAAGCTGAAGGAATCAAAGGGCACCCACCTCTTTTCTTCGCAGACCTTTTTCGGCTGTTTGGTGCGGTTTTGCTTCTTTGCGGCTCATCCCGCGTCCAGCGAGCCGGCCGAGGCTCCGGCTGCTGGCGCACTGGGCGCCGGACCGGGTCTCGCAGCTCCAGGCGGAGGCCGTGGCTTGAGGGGCTTGGGGCGACCTGGCCAAGTCTGTGGGAAGGGTGGGGTGGGTGGGTGGGTGTACAGGAGGAGTAGCAGGGGGAAGGCATTCTTCGGAGGAATGCATTGGCTTGGAGGTCATGTTCTGTTTGGAAATCCGCAGCCGCTTGGTTGGGGGACTCCTTTTGGGTTTTGGGGGGCGTTGGCCTTTTTGTGGGCCGCCTTTCTATTTTGGTTTGGGCAGCAAGCGGGGTTCCTCCCGAACAGAGCCGATTTTGGGTTCCATACCCTTTGGGAGACAGGGTCAAAGCCATTGGACAGAGACCCAAAGGACCCCAACCATGGCTTGGTTGGCTGAGCGGTAGTCTGAGCCGCTTTCAGTCCAGGCAATAGTGTGGCGCGAGTTATTGTCAAATTCATGATTCGCCATGAAGCATCTGTGGATTGCAGCGAACCCTTGAGGGTGTCACGAGTTTTCAGGCAGCCCGCATGGGAGAGTGAACATGAGGAGACCGAAGAAGCCCCGCCGAAGAGGGGTTGGGTATGACATTTAATGGCTGGAACACCCTGACAAAAGCTTGTTGGACATAGACTCATGCATTTCTGATGTCAAAGGGTTCAAGCAGTTGAGATTCATGGGCCAACCCATTCCAAGCAACAGGCAGGGGTGCTTTTTTGGGTGATGTGCAGGTTCAGCTGCGCCGCCGAGGCATGTTCGAGAGCTGGGTGAAGGGGACCAGAGTTCGGGTAGGTGTTTTATTCTTCTTTTTCTTGAGCCCATCCAAGATGTTCCCTTGGCAAACCCATGTGGCCCCCTTAGGATCAAACATTGCGGCTCGGCTGTCTCAAGGGTCAGCTATGCAAAGAGACCTTTGAGTTCGGTCCTTTGTTCAAAACTGATATCATATCGTGGTGCTCTTGCAGAGTTGAGTTATTTCCTAGCACACCTTTCACCGTGGTGCAAGGGTTGCAGTGAAGGTCCGCACAGTTAGAAACCATGACACCGAGAGCACAAAGTGCGAAAGATACTGCAACTGAGCATTTTGGGATGGCTTCCCATTTGTTTAGGTCCTATCTGATAGCTTCTTGTTTCCAGAGATCGTGGGTACCGGGAACCCCCCAAGTACACGTAATATATCTATATACATGATGCCTTTGGACCCACTGTTCGGCCGTTGGTTGGACTCGGCCCAATCGAGCGCCTCTGCCACTCTGCCAGCCAGGGGAGAGCCCTGGCCAACGCCGCGGCCTCTGCGACCTCCCCCGCCGCAGGTCTGACTTTGAGTCAAGGGTTGAACCTTTGATCACATCACATGACATAAGCCATATGTGCCATGGTCAAGAGCCCCTTTACTTGGGGTTATCAGGGATGGACATGCACCTGGTAGTGGGGGTTTTGTGAATAATCATGATAATGATTCCTACTAAGGAGACCATGACCATGGGGCCATGTAAGGAGTTTTGACCATGGCTCATATGTGAAGTCAAGGGGTTCCCAGCCGAAAGAGGGCGGCGGAATCCTTTAGTGCCATGTGCTGCACTGAATTGGGATAGAGCAAAATGGGAGATATGTGAAGCACTGGACATTTCTTTCTGGGTTCCCTGTTCAAACACTGGATTCACGTCAGTCGGGGTGACGAAAAGCGGTTTAGCCTGTTCTAGACCATCCAAATTGCGCGGCCACAACTTGTTCAATTTCTTGCATGGACCCTCCCCAGCAAGGTCCTCCAAAATGAGGACCTACCATCTGATTCTCAACTTTGAAACACAGGGGCGATTCAATGTGTTTGCAAAGTGCCTCGTGTAAGTTTCCCAGCATCACGTTGGCAACTTTGACTCTGTCAGTCGCAGCGTTGGAACATGGACAGGGTCGCATGTTTGAAGTGGTGATTCACTTGCTATTGGCCATTGTTGTTGGGGGTTCTGCTACCTTGTGTCATGACGGATCTAGTAGGTCCTAGGGTATGTATCAAATAGGGGAAACCCACAAGTTGTGGTTCTCTGTCGGTTGTCCTGTAGATCGACTGAACAAAGGGATACCTGTATGCAAGAACGCGCGGATAAGGCTGTTTGTCAGAAACCCTCAGACCGGTTGTTCCTCCGCTGCGGCCTCGTTTCTGAGGTCGCCGCGGCCGCTCGGCGGGCTGATGCGGAAAATGGGCTGCGCTGCCGGGGGGGTGAATGGTTTCGATGGGGCCAACCTTCTTGAAGGAGGATGATGGGGGAATGTGTCTACATATTTGTACGTATATGCGCACAGAAAGACAAGGCAGACATGCTGGACTTTTGAACAGCGAGCCACCATGAAACCAAGGAGCATGCGGGCATGTGACCTGGCGCTTGGATCCTTTTTGTTGATCGGAAACCCCAGGTAGAGATGCCCGGGGGTGCTTGATTTCCATCCGAAAGCATAGCCAGTAGCCAATTCCATGTGCGCCTGCCTTGGGGTTTCCTCAAAATGGAGCCGGGCACCAGACAAAAGGAAGGCAATCATGTTGGGGGTTGCCTAACTTTGAGACGAACCCTTTTGCGGCCTTGCTCAAGCGTTGGGGCATCCAGATGCATCCAGACTTGGCTTGCTTCGGTAGGGCGCAGGGTCGGGGTCAGCTCGTTTGCTTCACAGTTTGTAAAATGGGATATAGAGCCACCACGGTGTTCCGTTTTTTGGTCTGGCTTCCCTTTAAAGCGACCTTAAAATGGGTAGCCTCAACAAAAGGAAGCACATCCAAAGTGGCACCGACATTCTTTTGGTTCTGACTTGGCTTAGGCGGATGTTGGGGCTCAGACCATTTTCTTGCTAGTGTTATTTTGGTTTGGAGAGGACGAGAAGGAAGGGGGAGTAAATGATGTTGCTCTTGGCTCATTTCACGCGTTGCTGTTTGCGTCTCCAACTGCCTGGGTGTGAATTGTTTTTGTGCGCAAAGTCCATTTGGAGATGCGTGGTTGGTTTTAGGTTGCCACTTTCTGTACATTGCCAAGGGACCCTGTAAAGTGACAACGCCTTCATGTCTGGAGTCAACCACGAAACGGCATGGGGACCGAGCCGGCGCCCAATCTTCCCTAAGCAGAGTGGGTTCCGAGCCTTGTCACACCTTTTGCCTCGTTTCCTTGACCGGCCAAAACTCCCCCCAAAAAGTCCTTCGTTGGCTCCTGCCAGGGCGACACTGCCAGAGCACTGCTTCCGAGCCCGGGCCCGTTCACAGGCAGTTCCTACTGTTTTTGTTTGGGTTACTTGGGGTGGAGACCATTCAAAGTGTTCGTGAGCCTCTTTGAAACAAAGGACTTTCTGAACTGATGCGTGTTTGGTGCTTTGTCCCCCTCAGCCCCTCAGCTGGAAGCCTTCGGGGTCTTTGCCCAGACGGGCTCTGGGGTGCGTGGCAGGTTTCAGGGAGGATTCCGAAGGTGTCCCAGGGGCTCCGGGGCTGTTGGGGTGGGGGATACTCGGGCCACCTGTTCTTTTTTTTTTTGTTGTTGTTGTTGGCTCCCGCGCTGTGAGCGTCTCAAGGGGCGGCCCACTCGCCCAGGCGCAGGCTACGAGTGGCGACCAAGATGAGACAGGCAGCCAGCCCAGGAGCGGAAGCCACATCCGAAGCAAAGTCGGCGAAGCCACAGCGACTTGGGAGGTGGGTGTGTATGTGTTTGCTAGATCCTGGTCTGTCGTCCCTGTCCGCACAGAGGTGAAACAAGCGGTTCTGGGGTAGTTCCAGCTGCGTTATTCTGGAGGTTGTTGCTTCCCCCCATTCTTTTCACCTTGCGTGAAGGATCCCTCGAAAGAATGGTTGGGCAATCCAGCCGTTTTTTTCTTCTTCCGCCAACACAAATGAGAGCCACGAAAGATTGACACCGCGGCCGGGCGCTTGATGCCCCCATGTTTCTGCACTAGTTCTGGGCTCACCGAAGGGGGTACGACTGGATTCAGCTGTTGCGGGATCAGCGTTGTGATTGGCTACTTTTGTTTCAGTCGGAGATACCCATACATAAAATATGCCGGTTTCCACCCACAGAGCCGAGAGATGGATTGCAATGCCAGTGCCTTTTTTTGCCGCTTGGGAACCAAAAGGGAAGGGAACCGAACAAAATCTCGGTTCCATTCCTTTTTTGAGACCAACCCCGGCGTCCTTTTGAGCAGCGTTTTTTTTTTTTAATGCAGGAGCCAAAAGGAGAGGGGAACTGGCATGGTAGCCGCGTAGCCTACTCCTGGGACCGCGTAGCCTCGCGTAGCCTCCGCGTAGCCACTAGCAAAGGGAGCTGTCGACAATCGTCCGCGTAGCCTCCGCCTAGATCCTTTGTCTTGAGCTCAAGGCTTAGGTTGAAAGCTTGCGTGTCTCAGAGAAAGAGGGTGAATTTGATTTGCCTTGGCCCAGCCAGAGCTGAGTTCGCTCATTCCGCGTAGCCTCAGCGTAGCCTGCGCGTAGCCTCCGCGTAGCCTCCAAGGCGTGTTCAAGGCCACTGGCCCACATGCCTCCTACTACTACTGTTACCATTACTACTACTACTGCTACTACTACTACTACTGCTACTACTACTACTAGTACTACTACTGCTACTACTGCTACTACTGCTACCACTACCACTACCACTACCACTACCACTACTACTGCTGCTACCACTACCACTACTACTACCACTGCTCCTGCTACTAATACTTCTACTACTATTACTACTAGTGCTAGTACTAGTACTAGTAGTAGTAGTAGTAGTAGTAGTAGAAGAAGTAGTAGTAGTACTAGTACTAGTACTACTTCTACTACTACTACTACTACTACTACTTCTTCTGCTACTACGAACTTCCGGTTGCCGACGAGTATTCGCGTAGCCCCGGCGTAGCCCCCCGCGTAGCCACTTATCAACAAATATGTTCCGCGTAGCCAAATTCCTAGGGGGAAAGACAGCCGCGTAGCCTCCGCGTAGGTATGTGCTTCCAGTGTATAGGCCCCACACCATTAAAAAAAACACGGCTCTTTTGGCCACCGTTTGCGCCCCGTTGGCCCATTTGGGGCCTGGCAGGAGCCTCACCCAGGCCGTG